GTGTGTGTGTGTGAGAGAGAGAGAGAGAGAGAGAGAGAGAGAGAGAGGGAAAGAAAGAAAAAAATAGGAAGAGAGAGAGAGAGATAAAACTCTGTGCTATTATTTTTAATTGTTCCATTATTTATCATGTGTTAGTATTTTACACTGTCCCTATACCTAGAGTGATTTTTCTGCCTTTCTTTTGTCCAGGGCTACCACATATTTTTCACGGTTTACATGCATTCAATGTCAATAGTCCAGAGCATAAAATACACGTGTTTAACAAGAATTGAAAGGGACTTTGGAGGTCTTCTAGTCCAACCCCCAGCTCAGGCAAGAAAACTGAGGATGCCAAACTCTGAGCAGAGATCCCTGGGAAAGGTGTCAGAATAACAGAATAACACTTAAAAGGGACCCTGCGGTGAACCCTATACCATTTCAGAGAAATTTTATAAAATTCCGCCGGAAGTCCATCTGGGCCTGGTGCCTTTCCATTGTTTTGCTACTTAAGTGCTTCAGTTAACTCCATCATCGTTGTATTACTTTCTAACATTTCAATCTCTTTAGGTATCTGGGGTAGGTTAGTATTCTGTAAGTACTGTTTAACTGTTTCATCATCAATATTCTCTTGTGTATATAGTTTCCTGTAATAGTCTCATATAATTTCCTTCTTCTCTTTGCTTCCATAGCAAACTTGGCCTTGATCATCTATTAATTGCAGTATTTTCCTTGATTCTTTCTCCTTTCTCAGTTTATATGCTAACCATCTACCTGGTTTATTTGCATCTTCAAAGTAGTTCTGTTTCGTGCCTCTGATTTTCTGTGCTAATTCTTCTTTTTCCATTAATCCCATTTTATGTTTAATTATATCCATTTTTAACTTAATGTCCTTTTCCTGTGGCATTTTCTGTAACTCTTTTTCAAGTTCTTTATACTAATGTCTAATGTCTTAGAGGCTAGTCTTTTTGTGATATTTCTTTTCCTTGTATAGTCTATTATCAAGCCTCTGGCATATGCCTTCATTGTATCCCATACATTCTGCACTGATGTGTCTTCTTTTTTATTTTCTTTAAAGAAAAAAGGCAGTTCTTTCATCCTCTGTATGAAGTCATTTTCTTTTAATATAGTATTGTTTAACGTCCATCTAGATCTTCTTATTTGCCCTTTCCATTTAATTGTCATTGGATTATGATCTGACCAAATACTTGTTTCAATATTTATTTCTTGCATATTGGCTAACAATTCTGTTGACATCCATATCATATCTATTCTGGACCATGATGAATGTCTGTTTGAATAGAAAGCGTATTGTTTAGACTTAGCATTTCTTTGTCTCCATGCATCTTTTAGGTTTATTTCATCTGTCATTTTAAAAAAGGATTTAGGGAGAGTCTTTCTGTTTTGCTTTGTTGTTTTCTGTGTTGTATAGTCCAATTTATTGTCTACAATTCCATTGAAATCTCCCATCATAACGATATTAGTATAGTCCAGTTCAATTATTTTCATATGTAGTTTTCTATAAAATTCTTGTTGATTGTCATTCGGGTCATAGATTGCAATCAGGAGTGTTCTCATATTATTGTCCATTATTTCCACCATTAATACTCTTCCATCATCATCTGTATCAATCAATTTTGCTGGGATAATATCTTTAATGTATAAAACCACTCCTCTTTTCTTGAATTGTGTCAAAGAAGTAAATATTTTCCCTAACTTTGGCTGTATCAACATATTAAAAATGTTGCTTTTTAATATGTACTTCTTGTAGGCAGATTATATCAAATTTTAATTTCTCTGATTTATGGAAAGTTTTCCTTCTTTTAGCAGAGGAATTAAGTCCGTTTATGTTAATTGTAATCAGCCTTTTCTCTTCCATGTTTATAATTAGGTTTAGCAGCTCTTGTAGATCTTGGTTCACGTTGTTCTTTAACTTCCACCTTTCCGCCTACTGCACCTTCTTCTTTTTCAATTGCTATTTGGCAATCCTTTTGGAATTCAATTAGTGACATTTCTTTTTCTGTCTCCTCCTCTCTCCCTCCAAAGTATTCAGTATAAAACAATTTAGCTTTCTCATTTGAGTCAATTCTGTGTCTCTGTTCTTGCCATGTGAACCTTCTGGAATCAGCCATCTATAATTTACCCCATTTTTAAGTAGGATTTTAGTCAGGAATTGGTATTCTCTTCTCATTTCTCTCACTCTTCTAGGCACTTGTTTCAGGACCACAATCTCCTTATCTTTATGTTTCAATGTTTTCTCTCTTGCCACCTGTGATATTTGTGTTTTAATGGCTTTCTTTGTAAATCTGATGTGAACTTCTCTTGGTAAGCTATTTCTCATTGCATATCTTGTGAAGACTCGAAAAACCTCATCTATTCCATCCATCATCTTCTCTTTGGTTATTTCCAGAGCTTCAGCCAAGATTTCTATCATTATCTCAGCTAAGTTTTGTCCCTTTTCTTCGTCTATGTTTTGAAATCTGAGATAAAATTCTGATCTATCCATCTCCCATCTCAGCATCCCACTTTTATCTTGTTCAACCACTGTTAATCTGTCATTGATATCTTCAATCTTCTTATCTCTTTGTTTATCTTCTTCTTCAATTTTTTTGAATTTCTCATATTTCATCATCATTTGTTGAATATTCTCCACCTTTTCATCAGTTTTTTCTATTCTCCTTTCAATATTCTCTGTTCTTGCTTCTATGCTTTGAATTCCTTGCATTATCATCTGCAATGTCACCTTTTCCTGTTCTTTTTCTTGCTGTAACATCGTCTG